TACATAAAAATATATATACATATGTATTTATATCATTTAAAACGCCTGACAATGTCTTGGAGTGCTGAAACATGTTTTGCATAACAAACTAATTATAAGTGAGCAATATTAATTGTGATTAAAAGACAACCGAAAGAATTAAGCCGATAACGCAATATGGTTTCAATTGTTATTAATTTAAGTTTATCAATTATTTATGCACATAAGCAACATAATACACACTCACAAAATTGAACAAGTATGCAATCCGTTGAGATAACACACACAACATCAACGTGCTGCATACTTGGCATTATTTCGTTATGTTTTTGCTATTGTTAATTGTGATTTGCTAAAATATTCTCAGATCATCATGCATTAGGCTTTGTATATGTTTTATGTATATCTATTATATTTAACCAGATAATCTGGGTAGTGTATATATTAGCGAATCTATATAACGCTACTATATAACTATCCCTATATCGCAATTTCAAATATTACATTTTGTTTATTTATTATCATAGCAATTGTTTATATTTTAAGCACGCACATTATGTGATTAGGTAATTCTTTTCAATGATTTATACAAAATTCATAAATTTATTGAAAACATTTCATATTTTAGGTTGTCTTATAAGCAGCACGTGCTACAGTTGGAGCTTACTCGCAATATTGTGGAGGCATCTCAGCTATTTCTGCCCAAGAGAAGAATTCAGCACAGAGTTTCTATTGAGCAGATTTAAAATAGGTATTTATTTACTCACATTTAATTACATATCAATTAAATTAACTAATGCGCAAAGGAAAACTCTCATAAGCGGAAATTTTAGTTACAGACTGTCGTTAGAGCACTTGGTGCTACATATGTATGTATGTAAATATATATATGTTATGTACATCAAATCATTCAAATTTCAATTAACGTATACTATGTAATTTATTTACGTTACTACGTATTTTATATCACCAAAACTTTATTATTAATTATAAAAGTCAGCTCACGCATTCAACTCAACGCCACAGTTGAAAATGCTATTCATCGAAAGCGCACATTTGAATTGTTTGCAGTGTTTTGCAACACTGGAGAATCAGCTGTTCATGTGGATGCTACAATAAAGTACAGTTAGCTTTCTGTTACTACTATCTATTTTGAATTTGTCACTACAAATTAATACAGTTGCCAAAATTTGCATAGTGAATATGTAAAAGCAAAACATAGTTAAAATTATATATATATTCCAGGATTTATGTTTTGCATTCCACTTTCCTTAGATTGCAGGCAAAGTTATCCAAAAATAATACCACATACATATGTATATGTATGTATATACACTATCTCCTAGGTAATTTCAAAGTAGTTGGTAGCTCTTCACTTTCTCTATTTGAAGAATTACTAAAATAAAACAATAAAAATATTAGCACTAGCTATTGGGGGATTATGTTAACATTGTCTAACCTTTCCCAAGTTAGTCGCATTTTTTCGTCTTTGCTTTCAGCGCTCTCTCTTTCGATTTGCCGTTTTCTTTCCTTTTTTTCCCGTGCCTTCGTCCATTTCTCAATGTTCCTCTCGGTGTTGAGCTCCTTGATCCTCTCGTTCTCCTTGTACTTATTCTGTTGGCGTCGCAGCGCATCCTGATTGTGCACAAAGATCGGACGAATTTTATATCTTAGCCAGGCTTTGAGCTTAATATTTTTCTGTTTAGATGGCTCTGAGCTATCTGAGGCGGCGTTTTCCCAAGGCTTTGACGGTTGCTCCGAGCTAGATGGTCGCTCCGAGTCTGGTTCTTGATAAGATACTCTCACTCGCGTCGAAGGCTCCTCTGTATTAACCCTTCGCTCCGATTGTATTGGGGACAGCGTCGTTGGTGACTGATAATTGATTCTTGCTCGTCCCGTTGATTCCGGCTCCCTTGTATTCATCGGTGGCTCCGATGTGGTTGGGCTATGAAATATTGGCACTGGCTGCGCCGCTCTCGATGGTTGCCCCGATAATGGTGGAGAATCGTCTTTTGGCACTTCATGATCTCTTGGAAATCCTGTTGGTCGCCTCGATTTGATTGATTCGGATGCAGCTTTTTCTGATACTTCCACAGTTTCAGTTGTTGCTCCGCCCCATACAATTGCGCCAGCTGTTCCCTTTGATTTGGATGGTGCCTCATACTTGGACGATTGCTCCGATGTTGGTTGCGATTTCTTTTTTGATCGTTTGCACAATTTTTTGCATTTCTTTTCTCGCTTCGATTTAGTTGGCTCCTCTTCCGTTGTCGAGGGTGGCTCCAATATTGATGATTCTCTCGGGGATTGCTCCGATATTATCGATTCTTCCTGCCGCCGTTCCACGATCTGTGTGTCATCGGTCTGCATTTGAACATGGTGCTGCCCCCTCCAACAGCGACACACGACAGCCAGAAGCACAAGAACCACAACATAAATGAACATCAGGGCCACCGTTTGCCAGCACGATAAGTCCTCATATTGCAGTGGCAACAACTCTAACTCATCATCATCAACGTCCTCATCCAGCTGCAGCAGCTCGCAAATTCGGTCAGAGTCCAGGATGGGCAACTCGACCAAATTCTTGTACAACGATGGAGCTACTTCGTCCCACCAGGCGGCCCAGACATCGTTGACTGTTTTCACGACCAGATCCCTGCAGTGGGCGCACATCTGGCCCATCCATTGCTGGCATGCCGGGCAGCTGCCCTGGCAATCGGGATTCATGTTTAATGCATCGAAAGATCGGACACACACTTTATCGAGAGCACATTTTTCAAAAGCTACTGGGACAACTACTGGACTGAATTCCGAGTTATACTGCTACCAGGTATTACAAAACACATTCCCACCTACTTATCTGAATTTGTATTCACACAAATTTTGGATGTAATATAATACTAGTCTGGAATACTAAGCAATCTGCAAAGCTTGTGAAATGCTGTGCTAGTAGAGAGAATAAAGTTTCGATTTGTTGCAACTATTGAAGACTAATTAATTTATTTTTTGGCAAATTACATCCATGATAATATATAAGTTGATTCATTGACATTCAAGAATACGCAGAAATACAATAAGTTCCCAAGAGAAAGAAAAGCATAAAATCTGACCAGGACACGGCTGCTACATCTTCAAGGATTATATCATATATCTAATATATTAAAAGTAAAATTTATATTTATATTTTATTTAATTTTTTTTTAAAATATTATTAAGATGTACTTTTCTCTTTTTTAGATCATTTAGATTACGTCCTTTATTTGTTTAAAAAATAGGTATATAAATTATCATATACCTAATTTACAAAAAAAAAATATTTTTAATTTTTACATAATGTACTAAAGATATAGGCTATTAAGGACTTCAAGGAAACGTAACATAATCTGGTTCTCAGATATATCTATACTTATCCAGTGCTCATCATCAATCAATTTCATATCTTGTTTTCATTCCTTTATAATGATATTATTTTCTACTTGTTTGCGTAAATTCCTTCATTTCCATGGACTCCATTTCCATTTCGCGCCTACGTTCGGCTTTGGCGCGAACCTTGGTCCACTTCCTAATATTCCGTTCGTTGAGGATGCGCTCGAGCTTCTTGTCCTCCTCGTACTTCTTCTGTCGGCGCTTTAGCGCACCTTCATTGTGAACGAAAATCGGACGGCATATTTGATGCATCCATGCCTTGAAGCCGTGCTTTTTTAGCGGCCTGAGACACTCCCTAGGTATTGCTCCGGTCTCGTCCGGTTTGCATTGCTCTGCTGGTGGGTGATCCGGTTTAGATGAGGATGTCGGTAGCAGCAGATCTTCTTGCTCGTTGTGAATGGGTGGCAGGTTGTCAGCTTTGCATGTCCGACGCCAACGACGGCACACGACGAGCAGCAGCACCAGAATGGAAATATAGATGATGATCAGGGCGATCTTTTGCCACCACGCAAACTCTTTGTACTCCACTGCAGCTTTATGTGGACTGCTAGCGGCCACTTGGACCTCTAGCAAATGCTTCAGCTTCTCGCAGTCATAGACGGTCATATCGGCCACATCCTTGTACAACGGCGGTGTGGTATCGTGCCACCAGGCGGCCCAGATGTCCTTGGCTGCTTCGGCAAACAGATCCCTGCAACGGTCGCACACTAGGCTCATCCATTCCTGGCATTCCAGACTATAGATGTCCGTCTCGCAATCGGGATTCATAACAAAATCATCGAAAGATCGAAGTATATAATTAGCAAACGTTTCAATAGCTACTATGTAAGTTATGTAACTTATATTGTTACTAGGAAATACTCCTATTCGTGCCTACATATTTCAACTTTTAGTAAAGATGGAGCTTATGAGCTGTATATCTTCACTAACTCAGACGGATCATGCTATCTATATGGACATCTACAAGTATTTTTCAGTCTTTATTCTGTTATTTCATACTATTTGAACATGTAACAGGAGGAGTAAGCAGAATATTTTATATTTAACAGGGGGAGTTAACAGAAACAGTGAATATTCAACAGCAGGAGTTAACAGAATATTTGAATATAACGGCGAGCACTGCTTGTGGGATAAAGCGTTCACAGTATAAAAGAATTCTGATATGTTTAACCATTACAAACATTTTTGGACTATATTTAAATAGATATTAACTGAAAACTATCGTCTGAAAGACAAATTATATACATCGTACAAAACCTCCTTCCTTAACAACCACAATTTAACAACCAACCGGCGCAGACTTTACCTAGGCAACGCCTGGGCCACAACAAAAGTTATTTATGTAGAATTTTCGCTAGATTAATTTGGAATCATAATTGAATGTAGAATAGAGCAAAATGAGTGCTAAGAAATCAGCGGAAAGTGTGGATACTGCAGCGACAGCGCCGCCGCCTCCTCCCACAGCTGCTGGCCGACCGCCCACTTCGCAGCTCTTTTCGGTAGATTGACTGATGAAGATATTTAATATATATTATATATTCACTTTACTTTGATTTCCATTTACAGCGCGGCAATTTGGTCAGCAGTCGCAATGCTGGCGACAAGACAGCGCTGGCTCGACCCTCGACAGCGGTGCGCGCCGTGGGCTACGCAGCTAGCGCCAGCGGCTCGGCGGGTCAGCGTTTCGATCAGTTCTTTTTGGAGAAGGTCAAACAGCAGACGCTGTCCTCAGCCAATGCATCCGTCGATGCGGCCAAGGAGGTCAAGTGAGTAGAGCCAAGCTGACGGTGTAACAAATTTATGAATGATATGATATGTTTGTCCAGTCCGCAGATCAAGTACAAGAATATGGAGGCAAAGATTGTTAAGCTGCTGGAATCGTCCATTGTGCTGGCAGCTCAAAGCTCATCGAATCGCTCAACTGGCACCAACAATGCCGAAGTGAAATCCGCGCTGGCCGAGGCGCTCAACAAGGCGAAGGACGCATCCTCATTGGATCGCATTCTGCATCACGAGCAGGACAAGCAGGGCGAGAATGTGTTTCACAATTTCGATTTGACATATGCGGTAAGCAGTGCAGCAATCCCTAAAGCTCCTCTCACTATTTCAGTGAGTATCCTTAATCCTTTCCATTCTTATCCTTACCTTTCAGGTATTCTTCAATCTGGCCGAGCAATACGAGAACAATGACATGCACATCGAGGCCTTGAACACCTACAATATTATGACCAAGAACAAAATGTTCCCGCATGTGAATCAGCTGAAGCTGAACATGGGCAACATCTACTTCAAGATGGGCATGCACAAGAAGGCCATCAAGATGTATCGCATGGCACTGGACTCGGTGCCGAATACGTTGAAGCAGCTGCGCCTGAAGATCACCGAGAACATCGGTGTGCTGTTCATCCGGATGGGCCAGTATGCGGATGCTGCCTCCAGTTTTGAGTTCATCATGTCGGAACGCGCCGATATACGCAATGGCATCCATTTGCTGCTCTGCTACTATGCCATGGGCGATGTGGAGAAAATCAAGAGCACCTTTCGCAGCCTCTGCGATGTGCAGCCGGTCGAAACGGAACGGGATTTGGAAAATGAGAATAATATAATACGCCTGCAGCAGCAGGCAGAGCAGGCTGGACAATCTGCCGTAGATCTGGGTGACAACGGAGCTGAGGTGGCCATAATTGATGCAGAGGCGGGCAGCTCCTACGAGCAACTAAATGATCCCACGAAGAGCTCGGCAAATGCCAAAAATCGTTATGTGCTACAGGCTCTGAAAACGGATGAACTGGCAATTTATACGAAACAAAGGCGAAATACCGAGAAACGTTCCGTTACAATGATTGTGGATCTGATCTCGCCGCTCATCGAGGAGAACTATAATGATGGTGAGTTTGGATTTATAGAGCTTATATGGAAATGTTTAACTAGAGAAGACTACACCCAGTTGGGAAATCTATTTAGCTTAGCTATAAACCCATCCATTAATATTCGATTCCACGCACAGGTTACAACTGGTGCATTGAGGTCATCAGGACCTCAAATCTCTCCTGGCTGGCCAACGAACTGGAGCTGAACAAGGCGCTCGTCTATTTGCGCCAGAACGATGTCAACCAGGCCATCGAGACGCTGCAGATGTACGATCGGAAAAGCGAGAGCTCCATGACGGCCAGCGCGCTTACGAATCTGAGCTTTATCTACATTAATGTGAGCTCAACTGTTTATAATATAATACCTAAAGAGCTAACACCTCGGATTCAATTTGCAGCTGGGCAACCTGGAGATGGCCACGCACTGCCTCAATCAGCTGCAGGAACTGGGCGCCCTGCAGACGAGTGCCTTGGCGCTGGTCAATGCCAGCATTGTGGATATGCTGAATCAGAATTACAGCTCGGCCGGCGAACGCTTGCAACGGGCACTGCAACTGGATCCGACTAGCTTTGAGGCCAACTACAATTTGGGCCTGTTGGCGATACAGCAGCAGGATTACGAGCTGGCCGAGGAGCAGTTTGAGCTGCTGAAGGCGCAGCTCATGCAGCCGCATTCGGTGCAGCACAGTCATGTCTACTACCAGCTGGCCAAGCTGCAGGAGCGACGTCTGAGCAACGCCTCGGCTGTGGGCGGATTCAAGTCGACTGCCTCGCCAGGGGCACTGCAGGCTTACCTCCAGGTGCTGGGCATCTCGGCGGCGGAGATTGATTCGCGGCTGTTCGAGAAGGTGGGCAGCATGTACGAGCAGCGACAGGATCACCAGGAGGCCAATCAATACTACAACGAGGCGTATCGCATCAACATGAGCGACATCAACATCGCCAGCTCCATTGGCTCCTACTACATCAAGCTGCAGGCCACGGAGAAGGCGCTCTATTACTATGAGCGCGCAGTGCTCGCCGATCCCAATGATCCCAACCTGATGTTGCGCATTGCCAGCTGCTTTCGCAATTCGTATCTGCCGCCCAAGCAATATCTGGGCATGTTTGAGAAGATCTATGCGCGCTTTCCGGACAATCTTACCTGTGTGCGTGCCCTGATGCAGGTGACCAAGTCCCTAGGTATGTCCGAGCTGCACGAACGCTATGCCCAGGAATATGCCAGGCTGCAGAAGCAGCAGCAGGAGCGACAGAACGAACAGCGTTACCAACAGCAGCGCCTCTCCTCGGCCACCTCCAGTCGGAGCAGCAGAAGCAGCAACCTAAAGGGTGAGTACTGCTAGAGCGAAAGAACGTCCATCCGTTATCTCTATCTCTCTCTCTTTTTGTGTCTCTCATTCTGTCCTGACAGCACTGCGTCCATCGAATGAGGAGCGTTTGCAGGAGAACAGCGACATCTCTGCTACACTCGCATCCAATGCCGAGCAGTTCCTTCAAAGCGGCAGCTCGTATTCAGTGAAGCAGTATGTGGATCCCTTGGGCCCGCCAGCCGAGCGTCCTCGCACTGGGATGTACCGCGCACAGCAGAGCAATGATTCGGACGATGATGCGGAGATGAATGCGGACAGCCTGTTGCCCATTTAAAACAGACACATTATTTATTATATATAAGTAAATAAACTTTGTTTTTTAATATTTGAGAGTGATGGTTGCAATTCGCTATATTTTCAATTATTCGTCTAGCAAGTTAAGAAATTGATCCTAATTCAAACTAACCGCCAATGCGCAAGCAGTTCAAATCAGCGACTCTTATGGGCATGCAGTAAGCAGTGCCAGAACATTGCTTGCACCATGTAGTTCAATCGGAAACGGTAACGGCTCAGCCCGCGATGAACTGCTTGCTTGCAAATCCAATTCCAATCAGACTCTTATTTTGGTTTATCGTTTATTACGCTTCAAAGCGGCAAATAATACATAATTTGTTGATGTTTATTAACGGTTATAATTTAAAATCAATATATTGGTATTTGTAAAATATTTAGTGTTCTGCTTTTCGCTGTTTGTTGTTGTCATTTACGTAATAACCGTTACTTGCCACAGTGTCGTATTTCTTAATTGCTCCCTCTCCCTCTCTCTCTCATTCTGCTCGCACGCGTTTTTCCCACCTTTCGACGTTGAATTGAGTAATATATTTATGTGTTCTATTTACTTTTGGTTTTTGTGTATCGCTTGAATACGCATATTGTGTGAATTTAAATTGTTGCTTGTTTTGTAGAAAATGTGATAAAAGTATTTAATTTGATAATTTGATACGATTACGGATAAGTTTAAGAATGCCTCGCTCACATGTACACACAGAATTGTTTTTTTTTTTTTTTTAGAATTTGATATTTCCCTTTTTAAATTTAGACAATAAATATTGAAACAAAACAAAATCAAAGATAAAATTATATGAATCGCTAGACAAATTTACAAAATTTCTAATATTTGCATCCTGTTTTACTTTCCCTCGTACAGTGTCCTCTCGTTTCCTCTCACTCTTCAGCCAATTAGAAAATCAATCTTACAACTCTCTCTTGATTATAACGCACTAACTAACCCTCGCTCGCTTACAACAACTGCTGCAACTGCCTGGACACTATTCATGTGAAAACATATACGTATGCATATTTCTCCATCTCCTTCTGCTCTCTCTCTCTCTTTGTCTCTCTGCTCTACTCGCCTTCTCTATCGCTAACTTGTTTAGCTTCAGCTTAGAAGCTCATGTAGCCGCGAGAGGTGGAACGACGACGCGCACACAGATACGAGATGAGAACCACAAGAATGAGAGCAGCAAGGGCGATGCCCACAGCGATGGGCACCACATCGGAGGTCTCCGAGCTGTCGCAATCGTGCACCGAGGAGAAACCAGTGGCATTGGCACTGCGGAATCCCTCCACCTGGACATGGCTAACGCTGATCGTGCCAATGATGTTGTTGCCACTGATTGTCTCCGTCATGTTGAGCTTCTGGACGCGTGTGCAATGGTACGACATCTTCTCGGGCGTCTTGAAGTCCGTGTTCGGGCTCTGGTGTATCAACTGGATGGTCTGATTCTCTGCATTACAATATCACGATAATAATACTTAGATCAAAGAATAATAACAATTTGAATAAGTTGCAGCTACTCTGGGCAAAGAAAATATATAAACCACATTTGCTTATTCCAACTACATGTTAAAATAGAAAACTGGGAAACTGCCAAGTACTTTGCCATGAGATTGCCGCAAAGGATTCATACGCTAAGCACTTACCCTTAGCGTCGGGGAAGTCAGCAGCGGATAGTGGCATTACCACCTTGATTAAGGTAAGTGAGACAGATTTATTCTTGTTCTCCAGCTGCAGCACCAACGATTCCTGTCCGTCAACTGGACCCCAATTCAGCTGCATGAACTGAGTGATGGGGCTGTCGCACAAGCAGTGATCCAACTTAGCATTGCTGGGCACATTGAACAAGCCGTTGGTCATGTTGCCGCCTGCAATAGAGTTGAAGAAGTGAGTAAGTCTGATAGAACTAAAGAGAGGCAGAGAGGGGGTCGAACTCACTCTTAGTCTCATAGGTAAAGTTGAGCTGAGCTGCCATGGTGAGCATAATGCAGGAGCAGTTCCATGTGCCCACAGTTGGATCTGGATATGGCTGAGGCTTGCGCGTAGTGGTTGGCACTGGCGCTGGTGTCGAGGTACTCGGTGCCACAGTGGTGCTGGTGGTTGGGGCGACAGTAGTTGTGGTTGTTGTTGTTGTTGTTTTGGATGTTGTTGAAGTGCTGCTCGAGCTGCTTGTTGGGGGCGGCTTAGTCGTGCTGGTTGTAGTGGAAGTTGTAGAAGTCGAGCTGCTGCTGCTGCTCGATGTCAACGGCTTTTCCTGCTCGGGAAACTGGGCATCTTTCAAGCTCATCGACAGCGACTGCGTGTAAACTGCAAGAGATGAAATGAAAAGTGTGTGTCAAGAAAGCTGCATGCCATTGTCTCCTTAAGATCTTTTATCACTGTGTCAACATGCTGCTTGCTTAATTCCTATTATTTGAAGTGCGAGTCGACGATATGCGTTTATCAGGTCATTAAACTTATGCAAGGTTTTGAGAAAAATATGTCAATATGTTCAATTTTAGTTTAGTTGAAGCCAATTAACTGAGATAAATGGAAGATTATATAAGCAATATATACGTAAAAAATATATATATTTTTTTTAAATATTAAAAAGGAGTTTATACCTCAGTCTCTCCAGGCTCTTTACAATTCATTGTTCACCGATTTTTTAAATTTAATGGGTATATAAATAAATTGAACTAAACTATGCAGGCTATACAGTAAAACGTAATCTGTACTATAGAGTATAGATTACGTTTTATATATAGATAAAAATCATCAATATATACATACACACGATACGTATAACATACTCTATGAACGGCTTTACCTTTCATATATACAAAGCGTGTAATTTCATTAAGAAATACATATATACATACATACATATATTTATACTTGTATACATTAAAATATACATAGGTATATCACGACAGAAAATCGCTTTACAGCGCTTTCTATTCAGGCCTCTACGCAGCCATTTTCAAATAGAGTCAACAGTCAACTTTTAATATAATTATCATGTTTCAATGAATAGCAATATTTTAGCCGAGCGCTTTGTGTTTCATTATATTGTATCCACGTCGGCCCTCTTAGTTTTGAGTCTGAGTCATATTGATGAATAATATAAATATTTGCACAGTCGCCAACTGATAACCAAATAACCAGAAATTGCGTTGACCGACGGCTGAGAGGCGGTTGGCAGATGGGGCTGCCTTTGTTTGTGGGCGTGGCTTTTGCAAGTGCCACGGATTTGTGGAGAGCGCTTGGAGGGCTCTCTCGTTGAAACCTTTGCACCCGTCACACTAACAAAGGGTTTATTCTGATAGGCATATGGATACCCTACACACTCTCTCTTTCATATATGTCAATTTATTTCCGTTTCTGAAGGCGATAAAGTGACGCAAAAATCTATTGAGAACGACTCTAGCTGACTGCCCAATGCTCTACATGATTGTATATGTATGTGTGTATGTGTGTACTCCCTCTCGGCGTATCACAATTACAGCTGGTGCAAGCTTTTCCTTTATTTGTTATTTTTAATGCTCATTTTTATCTATAAAAGTTAAGTTTACTCGTCAACAACAATTTTGCAAGCTTTCACAAATATCTACATCTGTATATGAATAAATAGCAATATACAGTTGCGAAAAATAAAATAGCACCACTTGCWAACGCAAAGTTTAAGAAGTTCTCCTAGGTGCATTTATCAATGTATTGATCTAATTTTTTCTTGTATATAAGCAGAAAACAATTAATAATCGCAACAAGCAAGAATTATCCCAAAAATATTAATCGTTTTTATATAATTCAAAAAATTCTCAAAAAAGTCGTAAAAATGCCGAAAAAAATAATAGCACCACTAACCCTTTTCGAGTGAAAATCTATATTTTTCGCAGATTTGAATATCTTCAAAAGCACTAATTGATGAGATTTGTTGGTTATATATCTATTTTGATTAAAAAATTTTCAGAATTTGTGAAAATTTTCAAAAAAAATGGGTCGTGAAGAGCATTACACCACCGAACAACCCAATCTCATCAAAAAGTTGATTTCGGCTCAAAATTTNTATTCAAATCTGCGAAAAATATAGATTTTCACTCGAAAAGGGTTAGTGGTGCTATTATTTTTTTCGGCATTTTTACGACTTTTTTGAGAATTTTTTGAATTATATAAAAACGATTAATATTTTTGGGATAATTCTTGCTTGTTGCGATTATTAATTGTTTTCTGCTTATATACAAGAAAAAATTAGATCAATACATTGATAAATGCACCTAGGAGAACTTCTTAAACTTTGCGTTTGCAAGTGGTGCTATTTTATTTTTCGCAGCTGTACATATAAACATTTGTTCTTTCATAAAGTTAGTGACTCAACGCGGCTTAATTATATTATATGTGCATATATCTATAGGCGAAAGCTCAGGCACTTATATTTCCGACTTGCAAGACTCACAGTTGCATAGGTGATACGCCCCCGCCCCCTACTAGGCACGCCCAGCGTTCTAGTTCAATGCCATTGTAACACGACTGCAGAGATGACCTTTAAATGCAAGTTAAGCAGCAGCAGCAGCAGAAGCAAACAGCAAATACAACCAGACCCTTTCGAGACAGACAAACAGCGAGAGCGACAAATATCGAATACATTTCTCAGGCGTAACTGGAAAATTCCGGGAAAACTGCCCCAGCTAATAAGATTTATTTGCCATGGGCATGCAAGCGTACTGGCCTGTGTAAGGCGATAGCCCCTAATTAAAGTTCACAGGAAATGCAGCCTAATAGTGGTTCACTTTTTCGGAATTGTGGATGTGCTACAAGCAAGAATGATTAAAATTGCTTAAAGATTAAATGATTTAACATATGTAAAGCAAATTCTGCAGTCATAATAAAAATATATATATTATCTATATACTAAGTCCCGATTTCTTCAAGGTAAGCCTAAAAAGAAATTGATTATCATATGGAAACTATACAGAATCATAGATTCTAATTAATTATATTCCATCTATCAAGAAAGCAGCATTATTTGGTATTTAATGTAGTCTTTCAAAGAGTGGGGCTCAAAAAATCTTGATTATATATTTGTATAGTATTATTTACAAGTATTTGATATAGTATGTATATATGTATATCTATCAGTCATAATATAAAAGAGGCATTATTGTAAACTTTAAATCATTAAAGTTTATAAACTAAATATTTTTTAACAGAAACTTTAAATATTTTCTCTAGATGTATTTATTATACTATTTTATCTATATCATATCAGCTATCTTTATCAATTAACAAATTTTCCGACAACTTTCACTCTTTTGTGATTTATATATTTCTCAACTATATGACACATCATTGATCCCATGAGAATTAAACGGGTTAGTTTCAATTGTATACAATATATGTATATTTATATTAATGTGCCTTAATCCGACAAGTTCTACGGCTATGCGATTCAGTTTTCAAGAATGTGCGGCAAATCTTATCAGCAAAACTTCGCTCAAATAAACATTCAGATTTTTCCGCAGCTGAAACTAATACATGAATACACATACATACGTATATATAGATGGTATACTTTCTGCGTCTTTATTTGAGAATTGCAAATGCAAGAGTAAATTAGGTATATATAAATAAAATATTCCTATAAACACACATTGATAATAAGTCGAAAGTCTAGTCTCGATTAAAATTATTTTATATTAAATATAAATGCTACAGAAATGAAGTTTGACTTCATATAAAATGAAAAAAAAAAACTATTTTATCATAAATGTATTAAAATAATTTGTTTTGTACCCAAAATAAATTTTAATGTCTTTTTTATATTTTTGTTTGTTTTTATTTTTTTCTTGTTTTTTTTTTATGCCAATTAATTTCACCATTAACTATAATTATTATTTAAAAACAACTGTCTACTGTTAAATTCTAGAAACATTCAACAAATAGCTGTAGAGGGGGGAATACCAAACTACTGTTTCTGCGACTGTTGCTATATCACAAGCACGCCTGCATTTAGGGCTAACTGATAAAGAGGGTACATGAATGTATGTACGTATTTGTGGGGGGCGGTTATGCCTAAGGCAAATAACAAGTAAGTTAAATAAATAACAATTTAAGCATCACTGTGAATCAAATATAATCAAATTGTTGATGCCAGGCACAACAAAAGAAGACGGCGAAGTGTAGCCTTCTAGGCAGCCAGAGAAGGAGGAGAAACGGGCAAAAGTGAGAAATTGAATATGCCTGCATTCTGCTACATTCATATATACATGAATACATATGCAATGCGGGGGCTGCTGCCGGCAGAAGCCGAAAGAGCGAGAGGAAAGCAAATTGTTTTATCTGCCCGTTTCTCATGCTCTATGCAGGTAGAACGTTGTTCTTCTTGTCGGTTAGATAAGCGCAGCATACAGTACAAGCAAACATATGCACATATGCAGCAGCAACAGTAATGCGAGTGTGTGAGTATGTAAGTGGAGTCAGAACTGAAGAAACCGTTTGCGTTTGCCTTCGCCTTTGTGCGCTTCCTCTTTGTTGCAGCGGTACTAAGCCACCATCTTGTTAGATTTCTTAGATTCTACTTCGTAACTTTGTCCTCCAATGGCAACGACAATAACCGCAAGAAAAGTGTCACAAACCAGATAAATGTCAATGCGCCGCACACACACAAACACATACACACATTTGCACGTCTATGCGTTTAAACGTATAAATTATTCTACATGCGACTTAGTGTTGTTTTTCAACAGCCCTTGTAGATAAAACCACAGCAAAATAACAAAATAGCAACAACAAATCCATCAGCCCGTCAAACGGGTTACGTGCGTGCAAGCGGGATGCCAATAGGCGAAACAGCAACAAAAAAAAAACAACAGAAATTAAATTGCGATGAACAAGCAAAAGCAAATTGAACAAAGAGTTGCAGTTCTTTTTTTTTTTTTTGCGGGCGTCACGCGGCATGGGGTTAGTTTTAGCTTTACTCACCAGAGCTGCTCAACAGGAGCAAAGTCGTGCATACTATAAACTTATGCCCAAACATATTTAATTTCCTATTCGTCTAGCCGTCGAGTTTTACACTGCGTATTTGGTCGAACTTTTCTTGATTAAATGTGAATATGTTGGTAAAAACGTAAAAGCAGAGTCGACTAGTTTTTCTTTTTTTCCAAGCTGCCACTTCTGCTTTAGCAGATATTCGTTTTATATGGTCTGCTAGGAGCTCACTTTATTGCGCACAACGAAAAATGAAATGACATTAAATAATAGTGCTGGGCCTTTCGTCAGCTGTGAGTAGTGTCATATCAATCGATAGTAATGTCATATCGATTAATTTTCATCGACCATATTAACAAAGACACTAAAATCGATATAATATGTTAATTGTACGATGTATATCGAAATACGTATTTGTTGCAACTCTGCCTAAATTGAGTTAATATGCCCGCCAAATTTGAAAATAGATTGAAGTCCATTTACCATTTTTTTTTTTTTTTGTTTAAAATCATAAAACAATAAATAAACAGATATTTAATTTGTTTACAATACATTTCTTTTGTATATTTTTATTCACTCAGCCATTTTAAATTAAATTGTATTTTATACATACAATATTTATATAATT